TACTATCTGGTCAGTTCATGCTAAATTATTCTTCCTTAGATGGATTATTTTTAATTTCACTTCCTCTTAAATATGAAGAACAGCATGCTCCAATTCTATTTAACTTCAGATTTTCATGCCTGCAGAATGGCCCAGTTCTTCTCCATTTAACTCATTAACCTAGGTGCAAAAAAATAGTCAAGGTAACTATACTCTATAAACTATACTGTATAAATGGGTATTTCTTATATTGATATATTTGTTGCTTAAATATCCTGGGTGGTAGTCAACTAAGTTTTACTCAGAAATTTTACTCAAATTTACGGACCTAACTTAGTCATGGTTATTAATTTCATTGAGTCTACTCTGACTAAAAATATAGTTGAATACCACCCCCTTTTATATATTATTTTTACTGATTGATAGTTTGCTGTTTATTCCCATCATACGTAACATCCCCTCCTGACTGACATTTTAAAAACTCTTTAATGCTGGTAATTTCCATGTGTACAATGCAGTACTTTTCCCCCTAAAAAATGTTTAGGGGTCCTCTCATTTTGACTCAAGAAAATCACAATATTATAGTTCAAATCGGGGAAAATAAATACAGTAAATGGACAAAATGTTTAGGTGTATGCGTACCCCGGCGTACCCCCAGGAAAAAAAGCACTGGTACAATGCATCTTTTTCATATTTAACCCTAAGATTTTGAACTCTCCTGGATTTTTTAAAAAGAGGATCTTACATTTTCTTGGGATTTAAACTAAGTTTTTGACTTAACCCTTTAAAAAGCTCTGTTATTTTATGCATTGCATACGTTGTGAGTGTCCTGGAAAAACACGGGACATCCTATTTTTTCTGTGAGAGCACAGTGGCCATTGTAGGCACTGTGATCTTGCATGTCGTCATGCCGAGATCTTGCCTTGAAAAAGTGCTTTTTGGGGGGCTGCGAACTTGTGTGGTGCCCCAAAAGATGCATATTTGGGCTCCATGGTGTCGTGCGGGTCACTTGACTTGCCTGGGAGCCCAGACGGGAAGGCACGCATCCTGGTTTTGGGACTCAGCATGTTGCAGGGTATGTGCAATGCACAAAGCTTATTAAATTAATAAAAAGCAATGATGGACAAAAAACCTTTGATTTTTCTTGATGTCTAATTTTTATGTCACTATATAGCCTAAGCATAAGTTTAATGAACACTGAAATTAGAAAATATATTATTATGTAGCACATAGGTACAAAGGCTCCACTGTGCCCAACTTCACCAAACCTTAGCCCTGGACTGAGTGCCAAGATTCAACTCTAGAAGGCTGAATGCCACATTTGACTCCTTTGAGAAAGTGGGATATAAATTAAGCAAATAAAAAAGCAGAATGGAATTGCTTCTGAATAGATGTTGAATACATTCCCTCTAAAACTTCAGTGTTTTAGCAGAAAAACAACTAATAGATCTAGAACATCATCACAGAATGTATCCCCTCCCCACATCCAAGAGTCAGTGTGGAGCAGATCTACCCTTAGAGAATGCAGACTGCCTTCACAATGCAATCTGTCACCTGCAGTGACTATTTATTAAGTTTGCCTCACTTACAATGAATTGCCAATTGTCTAGACTTGGGAGTTATGGTTGTGGTCCCTAATATACTGCAAATGAGATCTTCTCTCCATTAAATCAGTTTTCCATAAACTAACCAGTGAAAGGTCTGTCCGTGTGTTCAAAGCACATCTCCCATTTAATAAATGCCAACAGATCCTGTTATATTTCGGCAAAAACGGCACAATCTATTCTGGTAGCAGCCATGGCTTGAACTAAAAGTTATGAGATGCCGTACTGAGAGAGATGAATTCTCTAAAGAGCTGTGACAGAATATAATTATGGAAGCCTTTCTGAATTTGGCAGTACCTCTCGCTTTGGTGTGAAGCCATCATTTCCCCTTGCCATGTAGCTAAATCCTTGTGCTTGTTCTCACCAATGCTGAATTCATCACTGTGGCAAGGTTCTTTCAGAAACTTCCATTTGCCCCTTTTGCCAGTTTCCAAGGATCTTATGGACAGAGGCAGCCTTTGTCAGTGTGGGGTTGCTTATGAAATGGATGGTTTCATGCATCAGTGTGGGAGAATTCTCATCTATTCAAGACCACGATGTGCCAGGTGCATCCACTTACCCAGCCTGGAGGAACTACTGCTGTCTCATCTGCTGCTGCCAAGAAAATTGTTTAGCCTTGTCTTGGGCCAAAAGGGTGGGGATTAGAAGAGCAAGGGAGAGCAAACTGTCTTTCTCACACACAAATGAGTGTACCAGCCTCTTAACTCCCAGTGGTTTTGTAACATTGATGGGATTAGTGCATTCGCCTGCTCCTCCTCCTCCTCCTCCTCCTCCTCCTCCTCCTCCTCCTCCTCTTCTTCTTCTTCCCCACCTTTCACCAGCGGGTCCCAGGGCAGGTTACAACAGTTTAAAATTCAGAATTAAATTTTAAAAAAAAGATTACAATCACAGGGATAGGGCTCTTAGATCTGGTGGAAAGGCCAGGATGAAGAGGTGTGTCTCCAGCATTTGCCAGAAGCTTTGTAGTGAAGAAGCCAGACACGCTCACACCAATTAAAAGCCTGATACAAAGCAAACTTCTATGTACTGCCTTAGGACATGTGCAGAATGATAAAAGGAAACAAAAACTCAAATGCAGAATAGCAATTTTCTTTCGCTTTATTTTTCTGGGTCCACAATGACTACATTTGTCTGCAAACAAAATTGCTGGACCAAGACGACATGCATGCCTGATGATCAAGAAAAGCCTGCCTATCCTACATTAGGGAGACATTGTTCAGAAATGGTGCATCCTTTTGTAAATATTGCCCATGTATTGGTGCCAAGGTTACTGTCAGTTCAGGTTATGTGTTGAAGAAATAAAAGCAATGCACGTGCTGCCTGAGGGAAACTTTTAACATGTGCCCCAGATTTATAAAGGGAGTAATATCCTTTCAGCGATCCTTCTGTTCACTTCGGCCTAATATCCCTTAGTGAAGGATACCTTTCAGTCCTCTTTTAGATTCGTTCCTTTTGCTGCTTTCTGTCGGGCAGTCAAATTTGTAGTGAAAAGGCGGCAACTGTAACCTGTGTAAATTTGCTACCCACTCCAAGTCACAGAAATGTGACGTTTCCTGTATGGTCCCACCAATCATCCCTATCTTGAGTTTTCATGGATAACTGGACATTTTATATTTATTATTTATTTAAATCCTCTGGCAGCTTGAACACTGTCAAATTGAACATGATTATGAGAAAGTGGAAATTTAAAACAGGTTCCACATGAAGTATGTTTACAAACAGTGGAGGGCGTTTAAGTTGTATTCAGAGTAGACCCTAACAACAACAACAACAACAACAACAAATATGTTGCCCATCTTACTGTGTTATCCCAGTAAATATAATAAGCAATTAAATTAGGTCCATTTTCAATGAGTCTACATACATACATACATACATAATTTTATTTGTATGCCACCTTTCCATACTTAAAACCATGCTCAAGGCAGCTTACAACATGAAAAATATATAATTACAAACATAACAAAAGTAGTCATAAACAATAAATAACACATTAAAAAGTAAACAATCAAATTAAAACAATTTCCACATACATTTCCGCATAATAAATCTAAAATAAAGATAAAAAAATATCAATAATAGCAGTAACAACACCCTTCCTTCGCCAAAAACCCCCAACTTCCTTCTAATCAATACCCAGCAGGCTCAGCTTTTGTAGCTGGAGTCAGTCAGGGCTCTGCCTTTCTAGGACAGGTGGAAAAAGAATGCAAGACAGGGAGCAGGTCTTCCAGCACTCGCAGTCAATCTGGTGCTCTGAGTAAAACGTAGCTGAACACTACCCAGAGCATCTGAACATCTTTATTTCCCCATTTGTCATCCTTTGGTCAATGTCAGTTGAGTCAATGTCAGTTGACTTGAGTCAATGTCACCACTACAAAATTGGTTACAATGGTGACTACGGAAAATTAACTGTTAAAATGCTCTGCCTTAAAAAAAAAAAAAAAGCAAGCTAGGCAACAGTTATTCATTAAGTTGTTAATTCCATTTCAACCATGTTTGGTTCTCCCTCTTAGAAAGAAACTGAAACCCATTTGTTTCTGAAAGCTTTTAATGGTTGTTTGACTGACCATGTTGCCACCTCAGGCTTTAAAGCTTACTTTATTATATATGGTGTTGAATGGCTGCTTTTAATATAAATGGCTGTTTTGTTTTTTGTTTTTGTACACTGCACTGTGTGCAACTGCAGAGGAGTGAGATACAAGAAATATTACAATTACAGCAACTTCTTTCTTCGTAGTTTAAAGGCCGGGGGTGGAGGAGAGAAAGATATTGCCTGTGTGACTTGAAGATTGCAGTTACAAACCTCATCCTACATAGGTTTCCTTAGATATTTCTGGACAAGATCAGGTTTTATTTTCCAGGCTAAAATATGATCAACTGGAATTTTGTCATCGGCCTTTAATGAGGACATCTAAAATACCACCAAATTCTGTCATGTTGTTTATGTATTTCCTTCGTAATAAACAGAAGTGTATTAATTGTCACTCCCATAATCTGCCAACTTCCCCCCATTAATTTTTATTAATTTTTCAAATTTATAATCTGCCAATGTTTCTTTTAGAAACATTTCAGTTCTTCTGTTTCTTCATCTTTAAGGGTTCATTCAGTCATCAGGTAATGGTTCTGACTAGTACTCTGATCCTAAACATTTATAACTCTATATTTTGTCAGGGATGTTAACTAGCTTTGCTAACATCCTGCTTTGTGTTCATTCTGAGCACCTAGGCTGATGTAGTAAAGCATAGCACTGGACTTTAGAAAGTCAAGATTATTTAATTTTCCTCAACAAATAACATTATGATAAAAATAACAATTCAGCCTCTATCTCCTCAGCCAAATCTGTGCTTCTCTGTTTTCTAAGCTTTTGCTCACTGTAGCATTAACAGGACGAGGGAAACCTTTCGGTTTTGTGTATAGTTACATCCATGACAGGGAATGGCGAAGTTCACCACTGGCTTCTAAGTGTTCACCAAAAGAAGTATCGGATGGGAGGACTCCTGTGAAATAAAATAGTTCACATTTTGTTTTTCTACTTAAATTTCCATTTTTATTCATATACATTATTGTATGCAAAAATCCCTTATTCCTCATGCCCCTTGTTTTTTCCTCTGTTTTGTTTTTAACCAGCAAGTAGCGCAGTTTTAAACACTAGAAAATCATAGAACAACAATAATAATACATTGCTAACCATAAATGTAAGAGCAAGGCCTTGATAGAATCTGCTTATTATGGATATTTCTGTTTTGGCTGAAATCTTTGAAGGGGCTGTATTTTGATTGATTTCTGTCAGAGAAGGGGAGAAAAAAATTACTCTATATCTTCTACATTAAGATACTGAGATGTGTACCAACTAATATTATTGACAAGAAACAGAACAGACAAGGCATGGTGGCTTGCCAAGGCCCTCACCTGAATAACCATTATTTTTCTTACAGAAAAAAACATTATTTTAAAAAGGCTACTAGCCCTAACTTAACCCGAACCCCAGAGTTAATACTTTGTGTGTTTCACCCAATACTTTGTGTGAAACAATGTCTCATAAATAAATAAGCAAGCAAACAAGCAAGCAAGCAAGCATGCTACGTGCACAGTGCTAAAATAAAATTGATGTATATAATAAGAATGAACAAAGAATCTGCACAAACAATATTTCACCTGAACAATATTTTACCTATGGTAAGGAATGCCATTACTTTACGTTGGTCCACTGTTTCCTGACAGATCTCTCTCCGCCTGTGAAGAGTATGAAGAATATGGCACATCTATACAACATAACGAATTATTTTCAAACAGATCAAAGCAGCACTTTGAATGAAGCCTGGATGCCTGTGTGAAGAAGCCCAATAACTCTTGTAGCATGCCATACATTTAGGAGTCAGGTTGATGCATTCTGCACTATTTCCAGCCGCCATGCAGTCTTCAGCATAGACCCAAAAGCGGCACTCTTTTTCAGGGACCCTGGGGAAGCAAAGGTGGAGTGCTGTGCAAAAACATTCTTCAAAATGTGGCTTCTGTTGTTTGTTTTCCAGCAACTGGCTGCCATGAAGCACCTAATGTGACATTGATTCTGCTGAACCATCTTGGTTAATGGATTATGTAACTGAATTCTCTGTCATTCCCTCCCCCCCCATCACATACATTTAAACTGATGCCTGTATGACAGAATGAATACGACTGAACATAGGAATTTCATATTGATTTGAAATTGCTATAATTTATCAATCACTGGGTCATAACTTTATATATTTACCCCACTCTTTGGTAGACTTTGTTCCTATTTTTAGTTGCTTCCTTTTACAATCACAGATTGGTAAGTGTTTGTTAATCTGTGACATGAAAAACAAAACGAAATCTTGTGCTATCAGGTATCCTGAGCTGTGGGCGGCGACTGGGGGGCGGGGCAGGGCAGGATCCTCACCTATCTACAATTAATGGGACAATTATAAGGAGAAAATGATCCTGGTGTGCTTTGTTATTTGCTGAAAAAATGCTTTAAGAACTTGCTCTTAATTTTTATAATTGTCACACCATTAATGAAACCTTAACTCGTATCACCCATATAAGGTTAAATTGAGTAATCAATCAAATCTGCATAAAATTGAAGGGGAATAAAATGAGTTTTAAAATAGAGCATCATATATCAGTTATTTGCAGATTATGTATGTATGTGTGTGTGTGTGTGCCACACAATAGATACCCGTGTGGAAAAAAACAGGGATGAGCCTGCTGCCTGCAGTTTTTACAAATACTTGGATTTAAAATATATAGTTTAATATATTTTAAAATGCATTTCCTGGTTTAATAAAGAGCAGCTCTTTAATCAAAAGGTTTTATATCCATGAATATAACCTAATTGACTCAAATTTTATTTTAAATAGCATTTGCATTAGCAATGTAATGCAATTATCTTAGGATGTACCTTTACATTTTTGTAGATCAGATTTTTTAAAAAAGAAATGATTTGGTTTGGTTTGAGCAGAGTACTCTTTACAGCTTCCGCAAAACTCACTGACAGTGTTAAAAACAATAGTATAACTGAAGTGTCATCATTATAAAAATAGTTTTCTTTCAACTTCATTTGTTGTAGTACTAGTAAGATTACCACTCCTCAAGGTGGCTATAGTATATTAGCATTTTGTTATTCATTTAAATATATGCAAATTTAAAGTCACCCATTACCTAGTACTGGGTATTTGAAAAGCCCTCCCTCAAAAAAATATTGCTAAAAAAGATGAGTAAAGCAGGCCAAGACACTCTACATGTTACCAACCTATTAAAAAATTAAGTACCAGAAGAAATATTAAATATGAAACATTGTGTCTTGGCCTGGTATATTTCCAAGAGAGAAATCAATATACCTTTATTTAATATGCAAATTTCAATCTCTTGAAGGATCCCCATTTGCTTTATTATGCCAGCTGAATATAACTATCCTAAAGTGCAAGATGCCGAAGCAAAATGAGCTCATTGAAGATGTCCCCCTACAAAAAACCAATTACCATCAATTATCTTGACTCTGCCATCCAATAACTATTGCACTTCATAGAAAAATGTACAGTTTAAAACAAGCTATGATGGAGGCATTGTTAAGTCTCTGGAAAGGCTCTGAAGAATAATGGACCATGATAATAATATTGGGTGGGATCTAAAACAATTAGAAGTTCTGCATTCCAAATGGGACTTTATTTTGGGGGGGGGGTCTAATAATTTCTAGTTCATCTTCAAGTCCACTCTTTTGCATGTATTTTTTTTTACACACATTTATACTTTTTAATCATTCGTGGATTTTAAACAATTCACATTCCTCCCTCTCTCTCTCTCTCTCTCTGTATGTGTGTGTATGTTTCAATGCTTTCTTAGTGTTATAAAGTATATTTTATACTTCAGCCTTGCATCTTGTAACATATAGTTAATGGTGAAAAATATTGCCGACGATCATTTGGATGAAATGAACTAGTCAGTTTTATAAAAGGATGAACTGCATCTGGAACTTGTTCCTTTTTTTGGATATCATAACACAAGCCCTTTTAAAATGAATTTCCCAAGCTCTGTTCTATGTATCCAAATTCATAGGCGCACCCAAAGTAGGTCTTTGGAGACACGGGCGAGTATGCTTTTGCTAAGTAAGTTTGCCCATCCTTCCAGCTACATTCCAGCCCTTCTTACACCACAAGACAGGAGTGAGGAATCTGTGGCTCTCCAGGTGTTTGACTCCCAACAGCCGTAGTCAGCATGGACAATGCAAACCCTCCAACATTCCTCAGATGAAAATAAGGACATTTCTTATTCCTCCCCAACAGACCCTCCTCAACACCCCCCCCATTTTTTTGTTCCCCTCCCTGCAGAGCATTTCCTATCAGAAGAAGAGTGGGTGCCATCACCAATGGGACACAGCCCCACACACCCTCCACTGTCCTGAGAAAACTCCTTAATCCTGCTTTTATTTTATTCTTTGGTAGGGTTACAAAAAGAAAAACATACACCAACAAATAAATTTTAGAAAAGAGGATTAGATGTGGATGCACAAAGCATTCTTTAATTAAAAAACCAAGACTCCTTGCGCTCCGCTCTACCACTCCTTGGTTCCCACCAGTGGGGCTGGGCCTCAGTGGCAACAGCCCCTTCTCCTCCTCATCTGCTCTCCTACAGCCGCTACAAGCTGCCCAAGGGAGGAGGCCAGCGGCAGTACAGTGGTACCTTGGGTTAAGTACATAATTTGTTTCTGCGGTCTGTTCTTAACCTGAAACTGTTCTTGACCTGAAGCACCACTTTAGCTAATGGGGCCTCCCGCTGCTGCCGCGCCGCCGGAGCCCAATTTCTGTTCTTATCCTGAAGCAAAGTTCTTAACCTGAAGCACTATTTCTGGGTTAGCGGAGTGTGTAATCTGAAGCGTATGTAACCTGAAGCGTATGTAACCTGAGGTACCACTGTAGTCCTGGAGAGGCAGTGGGGTGCTCCTTCACCACCACCTCTGCTTGGGACAAGCCCCAGCTCACCCTCTTCTCCAGGCTCAGCAGCAGCAGCAGCAGCAGTGGCAGGGGAAATAGGGACAGTTCGAGATGAAATCAGAAGCCGGGATGGCTTTCTTAATTCCAGGATTCCCCCTGGAAAATCGGGACACTAGAAGGGTACGGACAACGTTCAAGGATTATGGGAATTGCAGCCTATCAACTTCTGAAGGTCCGCAGATTCCCCATTGTTGCACTATAACTTAGTTATCTTGGTGGGTGTTTTAATTGACGGTAGCCTTAATATACCAGAAGGACAGCTGCAGCCAAGTATGTAGAGAAGGACTGAATTCAACAACAATGCACAACAATGTTTATTACAGCATTATATTTAGAGGTTGTTACTGTATGAATTAGCACACTTCAAAATAGATTCAAATGCTTTGCTGCAAATATAAATACTACTGTAAACAAAACAGAAAAAAGCTATAAAAAAAATCATGGTAAATGATTTTTTTTTAACAACCCTGATAGCAAGAACAACCAGAAACTGTAGTGGGGGAAAAGCTAGGCTTATGTAAGTGTGGAGTTATCTAAACTGTCACTGTAGGAGTTGAGGGCAGGGAAATAATGAAATATACACACATGCTGGATGAAGTTTTGCTGCAATTAGGTTGCCAGATCAAAATTTAAAAGCATAGCAGACTGCCAAGCTGAAGTCTCTGTGAAGTTCTATGGAGCTGGAAGATTTTAAAGTAAGGAGGGATGATCATTGCATTTATGGAGCTGTGCTGTTCTGGAATAAGGAAAGTCCTTTAAGTAAGAGACATCTGGCAACCTTAAATTACATGATATGTATGTAGACCTGACCTTGCTTCAACTTTCTAGCGGGCAAGGAGGCGATTTTTCTATATTTATCTGATGACGTTTGAGTCAGCTTGGGCAGACTTCAGTAAGAAAAAAATGTTTAAAAGCACTTCAAAAAGATAAGATCAATAGTTATTTTTAAGCATTATTTTCCTGTTTTTGCTGGCCAAAACTTCCAGTTGCAGAGGATGATCATTTATTTTTTATTTTATTTTTTAAAAAAAATATATTATTGTTCAATCAAAACTTCGTCCTCAGCTGCTAAAATACATGGCTACCACCACTTCTGAAACTGTACTATGAGCATTCTTAAAAGTAATAAATTAAACTAATATTACTATTCAATTTATTTTAGCCTATCTGTAAGCATATTTTATCTGCTTCTATTATTTTGCCTGTAATTTGTCATTACTAAAGAGTGTAATCCACATTGCATTTTAAATTATAGAAAAGCTCCACTTACATTTAATAGATTTGGATGGCACCTGGCATTTTTGCATCAGATTAGTCATTGTTTTTCCTTGCAATCAGAATTTCCTTGTACTTGAAATATATTTGGATTGTGTCCATCCTATTAACACACAGTTAAATATGGGGACTCACTTGAAAGCTCCACATTTCCGGTGCTAATCATGATGCTGATGCAAAGCAAGAAGTACCTATCTTAAAATACCTGACTTTTAAAGGAATCCTCAAATCAGGGCGAAAAGCATGAATCCATTAGTTGGCATGGGCAGTTGATCAATGAATTAATCACAGCTTTAACAGATGGATTTCTGTTCCAGTTGCAATCAGAGATGTAACCCTTGCAGTGGTGACAGCCTATGAACACCTCATGAGTCACACAAGTTTGATTTCCCAAACAGTGACATTACATTGTATACTTTGGAGAAGCTAGTATATTTATAAAATAACTGCAAAACATCATTTGCTTTGAGACGTAGTATTAACTGATCTATATATTTATTTACATTAACTATTAAAACAAAGTAACTGCTTGACCGAACACTTTTAATACATTTTCATTTCAAAAGCAGAGACTCATAGTCTGAATCAACTACCTTTCAATGGATACCTCAGGATACTCTTGCACTGCGATCGTACCAGCACTGTATAACGATGAAGTACAGTGATGTCTATTTTAGCCATATCGGAGGGGGAGTATGTTGCCGAGTAAGATGCTTCGTATTTTGCTGCTGCATTCTGCAGAGCAAACCAATTTTTAGCTGTCCAAAACGTTTATTTCTGAAGAATTGGGAAATAAGCATATGGCAAAAGTGATCATAGCAAAAGATGACTCGTTTAATCACCTCTTCGTTACAAATATCCAGAATTCATCTCTTGAATCCCGTCAATATGAAGTCTAACTCCTCAAAAACATAAGAGTCGTCTTCCAGATATTCAACCCAAAGTGGTGTAAAATGTAAAAGAAAAAAAAATAAAGAAGAGACTAAACACATGCATTTCGGGACTTACTCCTGTACAGTATATCAGAGCTACTAATATTTACTACCGCTGTTAAATTCAGCAGTGGTTTACAAACAGTACTTGCTCCATCGTATTTAGCTGTATTTAGTGCAGCAAAATCTGTTACTTTAGAATTTGCCGGTATTGATTTATTTAGACTGTAACCTTGGGAGCAGGGACATAATCTTTTAATATGTGTTTAATTAATTATTATATATTATTACTTATGCCCCAAATATATCTGTATTTACTCTGACATATATCCCATTGAGTTCCGTAGAAACTGGGAAAAATCTTATCCACAATTACCTAGGAGTAAGCCTTACTGAAAATAGTGTTGTCTACTTCCAAGTAAACATGCATACAGTTGCACTGCGTGTTTAAAATTGCAACCAAAGGTGAATAAAATAGTCAAGAGAGCTAGAGGACTTGTTTTTAGAAAGCATCAGATGTTTTATGGTGCACCTTTACACTCTATAAAACAATCCCGACAAAAATGTCTTTGAAGCAATGGAAACTTGTGTCAAGCAGCATATATTGCATTTAGATTGCATCCATCACATTATGAATTGGTATCTCCTCACTTGTATATAGTATAGACTGTACAAATTAATCTAAGAATTGAGGAGTGCTCCTTTATGAATCAAGAAAATCCTAAAATATTTAATTATTCTGTTTGTATTCAGAGGTTTTAGAAGTCAAGCTGATGAGCAAGAATATAGTTAACCATCCACCTTCCAATCTATTTACTTTTAATGCAAAAGGTCTGCCTTTTATATCTGGTTTATCCATGGTTCAGTTGTACCGAAGCAACTGTCTGGCTCGGAGCAGCAGTCTGAATGTTCTGCTTTCTTTCTGCCTTCAGTTTAAGTGATTGAGAAGTAGTGAGAAGTGGAATGATTTATCCAGACTATTAAGTGACTTTTAAGATTTACATTTTTCACTAAGGCCTCTGTGGCCATAACAGAATACATATACTATTTCAAGAGTATTGAATTATCCTCCATATCTAATTTTTGTGGCTCTATCAATTGCATCTATACTGCAAAAGGAATTCCCCGTGAAAGCCTCATAAACTCCAGCAAAACTGAGTACATATGGATCCTGCTCCACTTTATCACACTGCAATTGTCAAAAGCCTCATTTTTACTATGTGCCATTTTGCTACAGAAACCTTTCGATCTGGGGATGGTGGAATCTTATTTTCAAGGTGTCTCTTATATATAGGAAATGTTGGTCCTAAACAGGTTTTATTTCTATCCAATTGTAATGGGACTTAGGGAACTACTCCAGGGTATCATGACTGCAATATTTGTTCAGCTAATGTTGTTCAAGGGTGCTAGGAATATTAACTCAGAAATAGTCTACATCATACAGAATCCTTGACATTTTAAAGGTAAAAGCATAGTCAGTTGAACAACGAGACTCAATAATTTACAACCATTTTTTTTTAAATAATTGATTTCATATTTAAGTTTATATCCCAGTTTTTAATTAATGCACTAATCCTAAATATTTTCCCACCACTGTCTATTAAGTCACCTCTCTTCCCTCCTTCTAAGCTGTCTGCAAAACCCAACTTTTCTACAGATATTTTACTAGCACACTCTGTCCTCAGGGCTCCTCCAGACGTCCTGTTTATCGAGCATTCACCCACATTTGCTTACACAAAGCTTACATGGAGGTTAAATTCTGTCTGGTCTTTATTGACAATTTGTTCTATTTGTTTGCAAGGAGGTTCTATGACAATGAGAATTCATCCTGAATACATCCCAATTTGCTTGTGCATCTTCCTGCTAATCATTCATTCACCCCATACTTTGTAGTTTCATTTCCCCATCACTTTCTTAACTGCAAAAACCAGATTTTTTAAAAGTGAATTTGTTGCAACAGAGCTCTTTCACCTACTTTAGCTGTGCAAACCTAGATTTCCAGTGTTCAATTGAATCCCTCCCTTGAAATACAGATAGTCTGGAGATGATGCTATTCTTTTGCCTGCAGTCATCACTATTTTATCCTTTCTACTTTTGCTTATCAAGTCCTGCCCTTTCCGTTTCCCTCTGTCCTATCTATAAAAGCCTTCTTAACAGACAGTGCAGTGGTGCACTGATTCTACTAAACAAATGCTAAATAGCAGCAGTAATAATGATAGTGCCAGCACTAGCACACTTATTCAAACGTTGCCATTTATACACCCATTGGGCTAGCACTCCAATTAATGAGGCAGCACAGAGGGGCACCCTTCCTGGCCTTTCTTATACTATTCACGGCCTACGTGAAGCAGAAGACTCATGTGTCTAAATAACGGTTTTAATAGCTCTTCCTTTATAAAAGCAAGGTGGCTAATAAAGCAAAAACCATGCCATCAAAGTACAGATCTGTGAATGCAGCACCTGCCTCCCTTGTTACCTTATATGCATGATGGAAGAGAGAAACTCCTCTTCCAGCTCATAAAATGGAGCACAGGTCAGGTGAGTTCATAAACCAGGCCGCAGCCTATGGGGTAAGAACTGTAGCTCATTGGTAGAGCATTTGCCTGAAACTCTGGTGCACTTCTGTTGGTGAGTGCAGACAATGCTGAGGTAGATGGAGCGTTGAGCCAACTCAATATAAGATAGTTTCCTGCATTGGTTGTATAATTAAATGAGAATGGGCAAAACCGTCACCATTTGTGAGGTATTCTTGGGCATTAATTCAAACACAGCCTTTCCCCGCAAACTGGCGTCAGAATATTATAGGACTATAATAACAAATAATAATACTTTTTTTATTATTTATACCCTGCCCATCTTGCTGGGTTGCCCCAGCCACTCTGGGCAGCTTCTAACGCATATGAAAACATAATAAAACATCAAACATTAACAACCTCCTGATACAGGGCTGCCTTTTCTTCCTTATGTGAAATCTCAGCTTATCTTGGCCACTGTGAACTGGGACGAGAAAAAGGGCAGGGTCTTTTGATTTGCTGCTTCAGCAAGTGAAAGATTAAGACAAGATGGATGAAATGCTGTGCTTGTGCAGTAGCCCTAATTTGGGTATGGTATTGGCCTTTCAGGACATTACTGCCAGAAATGCTGATAACCAGTTAATAGAAGGTTTGGATAACAGAAATGAGGTTTGGATCATGGAAGTCCCAGTAGTAATGAGTTCCAGTATAAAAACTAAACTGACGCATTAGTTGCTGGTGCTGAAAATTTGTTTTGCAGAACTACTGGGCTATTTCCATCTATAATGTTTTTAATTAATTCAGTCCTGATCGGTGAATAAATTAAACCAAGACTCACAACGACCCTTCTGAAGTCACATTTAATCTTCACTCGTTTCTGGAAACTGTAAATGGGTTACAATGCTACACAAGTTTCTCCTTGTATGTTTAATGAGCCTAGATCCTCCTTGATCCCCTTCTCTCCAAGCACGTACATGCATGCACATCACCAGTATAATTTCCATGCACAAGTTCTGAACACTGTGAATGAGAAGTCCAGCATCTTTTTAGTGAAAGCAGACTGCCACCTATAGGTGTAAGTTAGGCTTAGCAAATAGGCTCTTTTTTGGGGTAACAGGCCCTTTATATACGGTATATACTATGATAAATTCAACTTAAAATTGTTATAATAGGATGACACAATCCTAATATGAATGTAGTTGCATAGTATTGTTTTATATGCATTCTGCTCTTCTATCCATTAAAAAAACGAAACCCTTTAGGAAATTATTTCTACCTGCAAGATGGGTAGAAAAGCAAAAGGGTTAAAAAGAAATGTGTTATGTTCATTTTAAGAAGCAAAACAATATTTTAGTTTCATTATCTAGGCAGACCATTGATAGTAGACAACCTGTTATTTTGATAAAAAGAGTGTTGTAAAAATTGATACAATATTACTTTATAGCATACCTATTTGTCTATATTGTTGCCTATCTATCACTTACATAACCATAATTTTAGGCATGCATTGCATTTTCATTAAATCTGATATGTGTCCAATGTATCGCAACAAGGTTTATTAAAGATAAACAGCTACATTCCTTTATTTTGTTCTTCATTAAATCTTGGGGTAAGGGTGGGATGAAACGCTTGTAATGCAAGTCTTGGTTATGTAAGACTCAAGTATCACATAATCAGTCTCATCAGCATACACCTTGAAAACGGAAATAGGAATTACAATTCCAGATATAGAACATTTTAGATTATTACTCTTATATTTTGCAGGTCAACATTTTCTAAATCACTTGGATAGATCTTGGAACAGTTAAAAGGTAAATAGAAATCCTTTTTATTTTTACTGTGCAGCCAATAACCTGGTCTATGCTACATGTATTAACATGGACACTACTGGATAATTTCAGAAAATTAAAATCAAATCGCAAAAGTTGCTATAAATGCTTTGATAGTGTATTTGATTTTGTGTTGGTCTTTTTTTTTAAAGTACGCATTAAGCTTGATGCATTGAAAAAGAGTTAACTGTAACATTTTCAACTCTCTTACTTAAGAGTAAATGTTGCTGATGGCATCTGACTCGGAATTACTGAGGGGGAAGAGGGAATTAAAAGAAGTGCAGCTTTTATAAAGTTCTAAGATTGCCGAATGACTATTTAATTTTGTTTTTAAATAGTCTTAGCCATTGGTGTATTGAAAAGGCCCGTTTTAAAATGTCCTGCTTTCTGGGTTTCCTAGTTTACCTTTTTTTCGAAACGTGGTACCTAGAACAATTGGCGTCTTTGTGTGATGTATATATCCTTCCTTATTTATATCAAATTGTTTAAAATTTATTTTATGCTATAATTTGTACAAGGTTGTAAGTAAATGATCTGTGCTGCAGGATTTGGACGTTGTGTGTTAAACGACTGTCCAAAAAAGGAATACAGCAGAATCTGTTTGTGTTAGTTTTTCCCTCCACTCAATTCGTGGTTGCCGCAATACATTTTAGTAATAATTTGAACAACATTTCCCAATTACAAGAAGTTCAGCAGACATACTTTGAAACAATTCCACCCAATTCATATATTTTTGTTTGGATCTGGCCCACCATCTTGACACTTTGGATAGCAGGATTTACTTTAAAGATTATTTTACTTTGTAAAGTACAGTATTAACTTTAGAGGAGAAGTGGCCAAAAGTATGAAAACCCACATCCTTGAGCATTACAATTCTTATTTGTTTTCTAATCTATACAGCAAATGGCCTTCTTGGTAAAACCCTTGGTAAAACAACTGCCAACACTTCCACAAAATATAGAATACATTTGTCATAGTCCAAACCAAAATCAATACATAATACAGTAAGAGTCCACAATTTTCTGGAAAGCGACAAGATATTTTAAACGTCCCCTCAAATACTGGATGAAATAAGGGGTAAAAACCCACTGTAGTACTTACAAAAGAACCTAAAAATGAATGTAAAATTATGCTCTGCAATAATGTGCTTTTATGAAATACTTTTCTATTTAATGTAGAAAGAGAATGGATACGTGGGAGACATATAGGGTGGGTGGAGAGCACAAGTAGAATTTGGCCTTATGTCATTCCCATGTTATATAATTAGAAAGCCAACTTTAGAGCCTTCATCCTGAAGGATAATTCAAGCAGAAAAGCGGGGGGTGGGGGTGGGGAAGTGCAAGGGTGCTATATAAAATTTGGAAAGCGATGACCAAGAACATAGTTATATGGTTTATCAATGAGTGATTGTCTTGCATGGAGAATTTAAAAAGGAAATATTAAGTAATCTTTCGAACTGCTGTTTATTTTTTTTATGTCAATTTCATATTTTAATGAAAGAATAGAGGCAATTTCCTCCTTTTTTATGAAATGTGAAAAGGCCGGATCATAGAATTTGCAAGGCAACTTTTTACGTTGTATAGAATTCTGCTAATAGTTTACAACTATTTTACTATATTACTATATAACTATATTACAAAGAAATATAAAGAACAAGTGTTACTATACAGGTGATAAATCTGTTAGTACAGGGGTCAGCAATCTTTTTCAGCTGTTCACCGTCCCTCAGACCATGTGGTGGGCCGGACTATATTTTTGGGGGGGAAATGCACAAATTTCTATGCCCCACAAATAACCCAGAGATGCATTTTAAATAAAAGGACACATTCTACTCATGTAAAAACATGCTGATTCCCGGACTGTCCACGGGTTGGATTGAGAAGGCAATTGGGCCACATCCGGCCCCCGGGCCTTAGTTTGCCTACCCCTGTGTTAGTATATGTAAGAGAGTTCAGATGTCTCAAGATAAATAAAGTGTAAGTATCCTGTAGTAACATTTGCACTTCTATGCTAACATCCGATTGTCATCAACTAGACATGATAATGCCTATTACAGGACCAAGAATTTTAAAGCCTTCAAATATCACATAATTCATCGGACAAACATCTAACCAGCAGTCCAGCACAGTAAAATGTGTAACCAAATTAGCAACCCATAAATAACACATCTTAGCTTAATGTTCATTGGAACTATTAATTGCACAAATGTGTGCTCCCATGAAAAATGTTGCAAGGGTGAATTGCACCATAAATAAGTTCTGGGAGGATCTTTTATATCATGTGAGTGGGGGACGGATACGGGACAACAGCATGTTTTCTCCATAAAGTCCAGATCTCAAATGTATTATATAATTCATTGAGGGCCTAATGTTTCATTTGTTCAGTTACAAAAGAAACTACTGTATGGAGAATTTAGCTATAAATCCAACAGTAGCTAGAAAAGAAGTTAGTTGCATCACCAAAATGACAACTGGAGGTCTATGAATCGATATAGAGACTGATCAGAGACATTTAAGAGGGAATGCAATCACAGACTTGATTATAATACATAATATGTACGTCTATATTACTGGTATCAGGACTTGGGATTCCTGAAGTTGGGATGCCTGTATCTCTAGCTAAGACTAAATTTTATTTTATTATTGCAGAGAAGGAAATGTCCTTCTATAGCCAATAAATGTATGGATTACAAAGTTTCACTGAAGAGCTGCAAGAAAAGTAATTAGTCTTGTAAGAATTCTGTAAGATGGGTAAAGGGGAAATGAGATCTCTTATCATGGTATACTCGCTGTTCTAATAGGGCACCATTAGCTGTTACATAATCACAACTATTTCTTCCTCTTAGCCTATGTTTATGCCCGGCATTTAAGGTCCAGCATAATTAAATTAAAATGTCTTTGACTAGAAAAAAAATGAATGAGGTATTTTTTTGTTTCAGCTCTTTACACTATGAAAGAGTAGCCTGTTACTTGCTTCGACAAATGTTCATGATCTTTTTTTTTAAAATCCTACCAGAGGTAGAGACCTTTACTGACGTAAGATTGGGATCTGTCTGAATGGGGGATGTTTTTTTTAAACTGGCTAAAATTACTGGAAGCGTTTCTGAAAATAAAGAGAAAAAATTACAGTGCTCATCTGCCCTAATATTTTCACACGCAGCAAGACTGGTTTGCAGTGTCAGTAACATGCATCTGATCTGCGTCACCTGCTCTGCCATCTGAAAATCAGTCTTGGTGCAGAATTGCAGTGGCCTCCCATTGGTGTAAACTCATCTATTTGAAGAGGCAACATTATTACATCCTGCAGCTTTTCATTGTTACAGTTGTGTGCCACAACAATGTAATTTATCCATATGGACTACCACTTGAAGTGTACCACTTTCCATCTAACGCCCATATAATGCCCAGTCTTTAAGGGCACATTCCCATACTAAAGATTTACTGGACGAGGAAATGAAAGATTTGATGGGAGCTCTATATGCTGGCAGAACACCGTGGGAGATACATCAGCACAATTGTGCAGATACGTTGGTGGAATGGCCAAAACCAAGTGGAGTTGTGGTTTCGACATAGACGGAACAGAGGAACAACATGTTTATGCTACATTCTAGACTCTCCCAGACTACGCATACCCCAGTCAATGGTGCAGCTGTACACCATCCCTAGATCAGGTGCAATATTTTTTTCATCACACACATTATATGCTAATAAGGGGGAATTCTGGTAGCTGGAAACTACGGGAGAAAGAGCATTTTACATCCCGATCTTGCAACACATCTGGGAATTGGAGCACATCGCTAATGCTTCTCTAGAATTCCAGACACAAATATCCAGCACCAAACTCTACTCCACTCCAATAGCTGGGGATGCCAGGACAGAGCACCCACACAGGGTGCTCCCGCTCCCATGCCTCCCGAGTCCCTATGGGAATATGGGTCGTCTGAACTATACTGCTCCTGCCTTGCAGCAATTAGGAGCAGGATCGCGCGCACACAGGCAAGGCCCTTATCCCGCAGCCATGCAAGCTCTCTGCCGTCAAAGACCAGGTACTCCAACTGTTGCCACTACTGTACTAGCCAACACTCATGAGCATTTTTACCTTGCATTCTCACAGATGGATGAACGGGGCAGAAAAAGCTGTCCCCATTCTTGCAATTGTTCCACAACAACCCCCAAAGGGGAAGGAGTATGTATACTCACAGTCAGTGTAGTCTCTCTTCCCCCACAGGGTGGACAGCTAACGGTGGCAGAGCACTCAGGTAGCATTACTCCCTCTTCTCTTTCAATCCCTCACACACTGTGTGTTCAGTATATTGCTTGTTATTTGCTGTGGTGGTGTTCCAAGGGCACTATAGCCATGTCGGTCATTTTCACATTTTCTACTTGTACGTTCTTTCCCCTCTCCTCCAGGCTGAACACACACTAGATATGGTGTCTGAGTGTAAGTGTTCAGAACAGGGCCTTGTCAGGGGTGGCACTACAGTTTTGGAATCAACTTCCTAGTTGTATCTCTGTATCTCTCTCAGATATCACAGAGGTTTACTTTTGACAGGCTTTTAAATTCAACAATTTAATTGCTAAAGACAACTTCTATCCATTTTTTGGTGTTTGTCCTTGTTTTATTCCTATTTTGTTTTTATGCTCTTAGTGTTTTACTTTTCAAAAATGCTTTAGCTGTTTCGGAGCAGAAAGGTGGTATAAAAATGTAAAGCAAATAAACAGTTTGCTTTGGGGAACCCTGTGCATTTAGACAGAAGTATAACGAAGTGCTGAGTTAGCATACTAGGTCCAAGAAATTAAAGCCACCAGAATATGCCTTTGTTGTGCAAGAATCATATTGATTGGATATCATGGTGCATCACAATTGTTTCCACATTTCCATTTCCTTGGATTTCTGTTTCTTGCTTATCCTTTCTTCCAATATCCAAATTTAGACAACAGTCCCCACAATTATAAATAACAATACAGAAAACACAGAAAGTATTGACTGTTGCTTGCAGATGTGGGGATCATGCCTCATTTAATGTTTATAATGCACACTCTACTTGTGCCAAAATTCAAGGCAGTTACACATTTTATGGAAAAAGGGTAGGACAACTAAGAAGAAGGGAAATTCAAACTTCACTAACTCATTTCCTAGGAGAGGCCATTGTCTCAGAAAAAAAGGTATAACTAAGTTTGACAAAAAATCTCATTCCCTGAAAGGCATAATATCAGAAAGAATACCGTTGTGCGGTAAGTAATCTGAATCAACATTGCATGCACGCACACAGTAATGTACAGAAAGGGCCCTAGTGACATCACTGATTGCCACCAAGTGTGGTTTGGGCTCAGTGTATGTTGATAATTAATGCCTATTTGTAGCACATGAGAGAGGAGAATCGTCCCATTGCTTTTGTGGGAATTTTTAAATCTGCATTTGTTGACTAGTGGAGAAAGATGAATGAAGTGAACATGCACTTCATATTTCATCTTGCAAAGTACACGATTCAAAAAAAGAAACAGCCCTTCAGTGCCTCTGATCTTTAATTAAAAAGTCAAGAGCTTTAATCCAATGCTACCAAAAAATAATAGAAAATTAAATATAAAAACTTCTCTCCAGGAAAACAGGGAGAAAATAGCCTGTGGTTCACTTATGCCTATGATTAAATATAGAGAAATGGCAGTTTCTTAGAATGGAAGGCCAGCTAGCCAGGCAGCACAGCTTTTCCACAGAATGTTGGGATGGGAAAATGCAGAATGTGTTTATTTGGAAGAGTCTTTGACTCATCTTAATTTTGACCGCCATTCAAGGTCTGTGCAGCTGAATTGTCATTCATTGGGGATATGTGCAACTGGACCCAATATGTTTATGATCTTGTGGCACTATTTAAAAAAAATTATCCCAACATACCATCTGCACCCAAATGCTTGAGGCAGAAATTATTATAAGAAGTTGTACTTTTTAGATTGGTTTATATGACATGGGACAGAATGGATCGATTTGCCTCAGGCAAGAAATCGACACTAGAAGTGAAGAATTTTATTTACAAATAGCTGCCCAAGTATGTCCATAAACACATTGCATTAGCCCACCTCCTGTTTGGGTCTTTAAGACTTCCCATGCATTCCCCATCTCTGCTCCCCTTACTGAATTGGATCCTAAATACATGACTACTTCTTCCACATTGTCATCTCCCAGACTCATCAATAGCATGTTGTGAGGTCTTCTCTACTGCAATGTTAGAACCTGAAAGTCATTTCTTGCAAGGTTAGGTTAAGTTAGGTTTATTACACTGATATCTCACCAAATGTGATAAAAGCACCAGGAAACATTTTAAGACTTTTTAATGTCATTTAGGCTGGCTTTTGGTGGCAGAAGTTATGCTACGTAGGATTTAGTGTTTATTATGATTCATCCACTGCATTGGCTTCAGTTATATTATATTTTGTTTAATGTCAGTGTATTATTACCCATCTGGTGCCTTTGTTCAAATAAAATAGGTATCGGACGTAATTAGGCCGGCCCCGCGCTTCATTGTGCTGCTGCTGCTTCTCTTTCCAAAATCGCAGGTATAAGAGTGCAATAAGCCCAGGTGAAGGATAGATATAATGTGGATCATCTAGAAGTGGACTACCCAGCAAAGTGTCCAAGGTAGTAAATGTTGCCAGTGGCTGCAATGCTTTCAGTATGAAAAAGCAACAACATCGATTAGAAAAATGTGAGACTGTCAGCTCACTCTCAAGTTGGAACTTGTCCCTTCAGAAGTGTGGTTAGGAGTGTAGTGTGACTGTCTTTTTATATTTCCATACGAAGCCCTAAATCTAAAACATACAAGTTTCTGCATTGGACCATAAGTTTGTGTTAATGTTTCTAGTACTTATGTTGACCCAGAAATCCTAGAAACATCATTACTGCCATCAGTTGATTTGTTTTAATGTTTGTTTTATTTAGAGAATTTATTAATGAGGAAGTGAGAGCATTATCCAGAGCTGGGTTTATGGTGAGCTGCTGTAAGTATAACCCTATGACCTTGATTCAGCCCTCTGTGGAATCAAAAGATTAGAGGGCCACCATTGCCATTCACAGTAAGAGGAGGAGGAGGAAGAATAATGAAAAATATCTTATTTCTAACCAGACCTCTGAACGGTCTGGCTGTTCTATGAGATTCTGGGTATCTGATGTTCCACATTGGTTTTGTTCCGCTTCATTACCAAGCAGATTTGTAATCTGAGAGTCATTATCCCGAGTTGAAACTAGGAAGGATTCCAACTACCTGTTTCCTTGTTAAAACATCCTAGGGAAAAAACATATTTAGGGGTATCTTGGATTCAACGTTCAATTTAGAAAAACACTTCAAGAAAAATAAAATTTAAGTGGAAAATGATAATTAAACAGAAATGTTTTTAAGCAGTAATACTATCCTTTGCTGGCAAATGCCACTTTCTTTCACATCTGGAAACATGTCTTGGTCATCAAATGAAGCAAGCTAGATTGCCTAACTGCTGTTGCTCTGCCCCTGCTTTTTAAGGGGTTTGTCTCTCTGTCTAGAAAAGCATACCTCTTCCACATCACTCAGTCAGTCAACTATTATCACATAATGCAACAGTCTCAAAGCCCCACATGAGTACCACAGCTTTACCATGTTCACTTAATTCTGAAAGTTGCATGTGGCAACCAAACAGTCAGCTGGTGGTGGTTATCTAGTCATATTACACTGTTCAGGTTTTAAATATATTTAACATTCTGTTTGGGAAACATTTATTCTGTCTTGTTTTGAGGAGAGGCCCAGAATTGATGAAAGGAAGCCAATAAAAGACAGTAAAACAGAAGTAAACATAAGCTTCTCTCTGCCATTACATACTCAACTAGTTTGCTTGCAGTGCTATATACATGCACTTTTCATTTATAAGCTCTAAATCATCCTCCCAGTTTCCTCTTTTCTGCTTTCTCTAAAATAGTCCACCTATGTTAGGTTTGGATGAAAATTTTGTAAAAGAGGCTTATTTATCTGCTTTGGCTCAATGGACAGGTACATTCATTAGCTGTGCCAAACTGTAACCCTGAAAGCACTGCTTACTATTCTGGATTTTTAAAAAACTGCTCCACACTGGCTTTTCCTGAAGCTTCTCTTATGTATAAAAACCCTGTCAGGGATTTGCAAGCAGCAATAGCAGCAGCCTGCAAGTCTTTCAGCATCTCTGAACAAGCCAGTACCCTTTTCCCTTTCCTTATTTTGTAAAAAAAACCCCAAAGATTTGATAGGACATTAACCGTATATCTAATCCCTCTTTCCCTCCTTGCTCTCAATCCCCGGCTCCACTTTATTTTCCCAACACACAAAGAAACACACACAGGCACAAGTATCCATGTAAACAATGTATTTACCTTTCTTTCTTTTCTTTCCTTTTTTTTTTTTTTGCTGCTTCTTCTTCTTTGCATAACATTCATTTTGCGATACTATTAAATCTCAGCCGTCTGCTGAACGCACAAGCCATCTTAAGATGGTTTTGTTTTGCTTTTCCAAGCCCTTCCAAGAAAATTAAAATGGAATAAGGAGGGTAGGGAAGAGACAGCACAAGAGGAGCTACATTCGGCATGAGATTTATGCTACATTTCACTGCCCCGAGGATCCTTAAAAGGGGGTGGGGGGGACACACACACACCAGAAAGCAAGGGAGAAAACTGTACTTACATTACTGCACACTCCTGCAAATCTCCTCCACCTTCCCCCTCCCCTTTACAACCTGATAGTACTACACATCGCATTCCTAGTGAGCTCCGTTCTCTGGATACCGAATTAGAACCCCGAGCAAAGGATCAACCACTTATCTCTTTAATCTACGATTTAAAGTACATTAAGATCAGAGCGAAAATAAAATCACTGACATGGCATGAGAATATTATAACACACATGACAGACCTTTCATGCCTCTATGTATTTCCCTCCCTTAGTGACAGACGTTTCATTGGCTTCTCGCCGCGGCACGAGCCCTGCCGCTATTGGCTGGCGAGGTCGGGCTTATCCCTGTTGGTAGGCAGAGGCTGGCTGCCGGACTGGCCAATCGTGTGTTTTGTTTCCAGGAGAAACATGGCATGTATAGCTATTTAAATCCTACTACACGGTGATGTAAGCGAGGGGGCTGTTGTAAAAAGAAGAAGAAGAAAAGGGGGGGGGGGAGAGAAGAAAAGAGGTTAGTAATAAGGCAAACTGAAAGGAAAATCTTGTCAAGCTGAATTATTTACAGTGCATGAGCTAAATCCAACTGGAGACAAATATAAGTGACCCACCACACCTGCACATTGAACCAATATGTTAAAACCCTCTTCTGCAAAGAAATCTGCACAAACACATATGGCCCCTCTATCCCTAATGCTGAGGTAATTTAGACGCATCCTCTCAAATACTCTGTTGTTGCTGTATATGATTATATATATATATATATATATATATACACACATTACTGCATGGAGTAGTAGGCACAGAGGTTTTATGGAGAATCATTTGGAGTACCGTATCCCTTTGACCCATTTGCTATATTCCTTCTCTTCCTACATTCATGCAAGTGGTCAGAGAGATTCATGCAAGCATTCTTCCTCCCCTGACCCTGTACAGTTTATCCCACCCAGTAATACAGCAAGCATAGTAATGGTAATCCTGGTCCTTGTGCTGTTAAGCTATCAGTATTTGAATTTCCACCCAGACAAGATTTTTACAGCAACTTATTGGCAGAAAGGACAAGATTTGCACATCCACTGTATCTGGGAATCCCAGAGAACAATACTACAACATGGGCTTCTGTTTTGCAGGGGCACCATGGGTGTAGCCAAGTGGGGGGGTGGCAGCTGCCCCCCTAGATCAAGTAAAACAATAGAAATACTTAACTAACTGATAAATCACATCAATTCTGCCCCCCCAAGGTCTTGCCCCTCCTAACAAATATCCTGGCTACGCCCATGAGGGGCAGAGGATTTAAAGATCTGTTCAAGGAGAACCCTCTGAAAGCTTATTGCAGCTATCTTCAAGTAGAAGATCTCTAATAGCGGATAAACAAGCTTGACCTCCATTACTGTCATGGAAGACTTAGTGGACATTCAAGTCAAGAATTGCCCCGCTCAAGCAGAATGCAGCACCAACAAAAAGCAGAAAAAATAGTGCCGATTTGCAAAATTGAATAAACATTATATGCAAATGTATAAATAACTATTGATATCTGAGCTATACTGCCACTAAACATGGAGGCTCAATTCATTTATTAGTAGCATCAAATAGCCGGCACTGCCTGCAAATTTGTAGAAACCACACAATATAATAATTTTTAAATGTGATTTGTGAGTTTGGGCCCATCATGCCAAAAACACTCTCTTTTTGCGTTTTTATGACTGCTATATCTGATTCTGTCTTATAACTTTTTGTTATATTCGTGAGACTTGCCTTTCAATCAGTGTTTTTGCAGCTGCAGTGTGCCAGTATGGCAGTATATTAAAGAAGGGTCCTTGTATTACCTTTGCCATATTTAGTATATGTCATAGTCTTGTAATGTTCTGCATGGAGTTTTCTATAATATTCATTATATTATACTCTGAATTCCCAGGTAAGATCCTCCCTCTATTGTGTGGGCAGGTAATCCCTCCCCCACCTGGCCTGATCTCCTTGGCAACGCTTCCCCCAGGTGGGATTGGACAACTGACTGGGGTTGGCGGAGACCTCCAGGTATCCCACCTGAGGGAAGGCAAAGCCAAGCCTATGCTGAATGGAGCCGCTCCAGATCCAGGGGCTGCGCGCGTCCACACAAAGGTCACCCCCCGTTTTATGCGGGGAGCGGTCATTGTGTGGCTACACTGGTGTTTTAAAAGTATACTCTCTAAACAACAACAGCAACAAAGTAGCCTTTGTTCGCCATTGCGGATTTATGGTACAATAGACTGCATTTAATTCATAAGAAATGCAGGAATTGAACATTTTGGAATGAGATTTGGGTCTCAGACTTTATAAATAAATGACAGTTATATGGCAGAAATAGGCAATTTCTTCAGCACTTAAAATCATGCAGAAAACCCATTAAGCCTGATGGCTGTTTCTTCAATTTGCTAATTTTTGTTTTTCTGCAATACAGTTTTGTGTACATTTGGTAGACAGCATCATTTAGCTGGCATAGAAGAGATATCATAAATACCACAGTTTTTATGTCAAGTATGATCAGACATGAACCAAACTATATGCCAAATGCGAAGCAGATCCCATATTTTAATGCTTGGAATAAGGTATAACCAGCAGTTACATAACTGATTATCTTACTCTGGACACAGCATTGCTTACTGTTGGAAGAACATTGCAAATCTTCATTATATATGCTAGTGGCATGTACATGAGTCACTTACGTAATTTTTCACTATTTTTATGTATTAATTGCATATGTATTTAAATCATCCAAAGAGCCTGAAATATGTGTATTGTCTTTTTAAACCTCCCCTTTATCCCCACAACATTTCACACAAAGCACATAGTTAAAGTTTGGAATTTGCTCTCAGAAGATGCCTTTTAAAAAGGGTTATAGACAGATACATGAAGGAAAAGGCTGCTATCAGTGGTTACAACCCATGATGGTTAAGTTCTACCTCCAGTGTCTGAATGCCAGTTTCTGGGAACTGCAAGTTCCAGCAGAATGATGTTGTGCTCAGGTCCTGCTTACAGGCGTCCCATAGGTATCTTCTCATAGGCTAGACTTTTTATGTTTTTGTGAGGTAGGTTAAGAATGGGAGATTGTAGCTTGCCGCAGCCAGCCAGCCAGCCAGTGAGATTGATATCTGTTGAATATTACACCTTAATTTTATCCTTGCTCCAACAAGTTCAGGGCAAGTTCTCTCCCTCACTGAATCCTTAACATAACGCGGTGAGTGCAGTTAGTCTGCAAGACTGTGAGTGGCCCAGGGTCACTCAGTGAACTTTATAGCTGAGTGAGGATTTGAACCTAGGTCTCCCTAGTCCAAAACTCTGCCTGCTGCAGGCCACTGCACTGTACACTGCACGAGTCCTCTCAGAAGGCAAGAATGATTCCTGCAAAA